GGTATAGAGGTAGTAGAGTACTTGTGCAAGTATTACAACAAGATAAATTTTATGTAACGAATCACGCAAAAATGTAACGCAAACGTTGGACGTACCGCTTGTGAGGCCGCCGAATGTTTTGTTACCTAATTCCGTTTCAACTCTCACGTTATGGTTGGGAGAGAATGTCGTCAACTTATGAGAAGCATTGATTTCTGTCTTAGGGCTACGCAGAGACATATCTAGATCCACGGAAGAGGATGAGAGGACTAATTTAGGAGAGGGATTATAATTTAATATCCTTTCGGCTGGTGTCGTTTTCTTTGGAACTACTTTTGTGAGATTTGAGAGGAGGAAGAGTATGAGTTCTACCATGTTAGCCGTGGGTTTATCTACTTCGGTGACTTGCGATGTCTTGCCCTTCTTACTAGTGGCTTTAGTAAGGTGATTGTAAGCACATTTTTCAATCACTGTCTTATCTGCTACAACTTTTATTTGTTTGTAACTCTTATCCTGCAATAGTCTACGTTGTGAATTGATGAATTTTTGGCCTCTCTCTGTCTCAGACTGAAGGCGCGTAAGGCAACAGTAGTCTTGCCAACTCTTTTTCAGTGTACGTCGCTTTTGGGAGTCAGGCATTTTCGCCTCCCTAATTAAGATACTTTGAACCCTTTTTAACATCTCATTATCCGGCACATTGTAGACTATCACACTTGGTTTCTAATCTAGTCCTTTGATGGCCTCTTGTTGTGATGAAGCTTATCAGGTTGTCTACCTTGGTCACCGATTCTTTGTCAAGTTAGCCATGGCTTATGCTTCTGATCAGGATACTTAGGGGTATAAGTTCACAGAACTGCGATTTTATGCTGCTAATATGTGTTGATAGTTTAGATATACTGGCCAAATTTTCTAAACATCCTGCATTCATAGCCTTACTACACCTTATATCTCGTATCTTAGTTTTCATCTCTTCTACAGACAGCTTTAGTCGTTCTATTTCTGAACTAAGTCTTGAAGCTGAACTTGGTATCTGAAGTTTTGTGACACGCACATAAGGTGAAGAGGTCTATGCCAGGGCCAGGTGCTGAGCTTGTAGAAGCAATGCTTCTACTAGTTGTCAGCATAACTTTGCTGTCAGTTCCAGCCACAGTAGATGGTAGTGACACAGCAGCTCGACGCTTGTGGCGTATTGGCAAGTTGTGTCACTCACTGCCATATTTTTTGGGAGGCATATTGCAGACATGTGCCATCAGTCATCGGACTAACAGGTGACCGAGTTCGTGGCTTTTTCATGTGATTAACCATAATCATAGTGAAAGTTATCGGTTTTAGAGAATTTCTATATATATATATATACAACAAATCACGCTAAAATTTAGCGCAGACGTTGAACGTTCGGTTTCACTCAAATGGTCTTATGCTAAATCAGCCTAAATTTTACAGTAGTGATTTTGGTTTCAGATGTGATCAAGACTCGCATGGACTGATTCACTCGTGTGATTTTTGTAATAAAGACGGCAATATGATAGTGGGTACACAGAATATCTCACATCTTGGTATCAGTTTCTTTTCGAATCTCTTCTGGTCATCTCATAACCCGTTCGTCTCTAAGAAAATTTTTCTTTTGGTTTACTACATAAAAATTCGGAACTTTCTGACATAACTCAACCTTTCCTCTTACAGTTCGTTGATTCATTTATCCCGCCTCTTCTCCTTCACTGTTCTCCACTGTCCTTCCTTGCAATTCTCAGAGAAGACTATGTCATATTACGTGGGATAATGAACACTGAAAGTAGCGTTAGTGGTGTTCCTTTGACCCAGATAACTGACATTATTGTCAGTAGGCACTTCAGTTCCTGAAAGGATTTGGCTACAGTTATCTTGTCTAATACTTAAACTCCTCTTTATCCTCAACTCTCTCCGTGTATTCCCTCTAGAAAAACCAGAAGAAACCTCAGTTTAAGCTTGTAAAAATAAATATAAAAATTTCACCATACCGTATTTGGCACCGGTTGGTGTGAAGAGTCAGACGTCAGAAAAGAACGTGCAAACTTTTTCAACGAATATTCTGAAGTGCAAAGTATAAGCAAAGCTTATTATCATTACATATATTATCTGTGAAACTGTCTCCTTATACTTCGTTATGATTTTGCCAACATTTTGTTTATAGCAGTTTGATTATTAATATAATTATTACTGATTTAAATATTACTTATGTAGATATAACAAGAGGAGCTTAACTTTTGGGATATCCCAAGCTTACTATAATGCTGAATTAAATCTCACTAATTCTGAGATAACTTCAACATTCTTTAGCAGGTAAACTCTGAGTCTGCTCTTTAATAGTTTCTTTAATGGCACAGACTAGAACTCAATGCTGGCTTTCACCATGACTGGGATTGAGTAGATGAGAACCAATTGGGTTTGGTTTTCAGCGTTGTTCCAGCCCCCACAGCACATATTAAGCACTGACTAGCATTATTTCAGAACGAAAACACTTAATTCAGCACATAGTGGCGATTTCCTCAGCCTAATTTCGGACCATATTCTGCACTGACTAGCATTACTATAAAACGAAAGGACTGCTACCAATTGTCACATGTATCCTATGCTAGCGCAGTTCATTTAGTTTTCGGAAAGAAATCAGTTTTTATAATTGAGGGGATTTTGTTTTTTAAATTATAGTACAACGCCACTGCAAATCCGTCACCGGTCGTTGCATTCTTTTTTGGCACTATATGAAACTGGAACGCTCGTGTGTTATTCAACGGTCGAATGAGGCCAAGATTAAGGAAAAGGCAAAATTCAGTTTCGACTAATCGTAGCTTCTCAGATGCTGTTCGTCAGGCTTCGGGCGCCACCGGTTGTCATGTGGTTGCGATGCGATGCATAACACTGCTGGTAATGGATGACAAATCGTTTGAAGGAAAGTTAGGTTCCAAACACCCGTCGACAGTTGGTTCAAAATTCGGATGAACTGTTGTCTTTTTAATCTGCGACAAGCTTTGACCTACATACATACACCTATGTGGTATGACTTAAAACCTTTGATTTAGACAAACAGTAGTATTTGTGCCTAACCCCAATAACATGCGGGTTACAAAGGAGGTACGTTGGAACTTAATAAATAAGCAGGTCAGCTAATGTGTTTAGTGAGACCAATTCAGTCGCCCAAAGTTACATTTGAGCTGAAACCAGCCAATGCGGAGCATACCAAAGTTTTCCTTCAGTGTTCAAAAGATGGACTTTTCCACTCAAAAGTGTGTCCATCCACTGCTAGTAGAGGAGTAGTTCTTAACTCATCATCTCATTGGACGAACCCGACCCGGCGATGGGTGCAGTTCTACAATAGCTGGTCAACAATTTATGCAGCCACTTGTTTTGTCCAAGAGGCCGCAGAAAACGGGAACAAAGCTAAGAGCTTCAAACGCAGAACTTCTTTCTGTGCGTCGCTTTCGGCATTCAGTGGAGGGTCGGGTGTTTCTCATTTTCACGAACCACAAACCACTCATTCAGTCTTTACACTGGGAATAAGATAGGTATTCACTGAGGTAATCACTCCATTTACTTTAAATTTCACTGTTAACTTGGATATTCGTCACAGATTTTGACCAGCAATACTGCAGCAGATGCCTTGGCACCCATTTGTTCCTTCATTCAAACTGACATCACAGACATTAGGCATGTAGCCCGAATCTGAAGAATCTTTGGATATTTTCGATTAGTACCTCGAAACACACAAATACCGCTACGGATAAAAGAAGGAGATTGCTGAAAAGGTGTCACGGAGGTTCTCTGCAGTATGGTTTTGTACACTGATTATTGACTTTTCTGAAAGTGCAACCTAACTGGATTCTTGACGTATGTGTATGAGATGTGACTCAGGCATTCAAAGTTGCTTGTGCATTTTATCATGCATATAGGACACCGGGTTATATATATTACTGTATTACATAGGGTTAACAGAAAATAGTCCGGATACACATATAGAACTTGCTGATATAATAATAGTACATAACTTAGTTGATAATGTTAGCACCGATAAGTCACCTCCCTTGAGTGAACAATGGTTTTCTAGCTTAAGAAGTCAAACTTGTTTGTACAGGCTAAAGTCGCTACAAACGAGATTATTTGTTTGGAAAATTGTACTGTCCTCATGACAAATGCTAGAGAAGAAAGAAAACTATAAAAATCAAGTTTCAAGGTTGTGCAGTTACAGTTGGTATGAATATGAATAACAGACTTTATTCGAAACGTGATGCGCGAAATGATATTTTTAACTATGCAATAGATCCAATAAACAAATTTATGCGAAAGTTCATAATGACACATCGCCGAAGTTTTACCCATAAACAAACACACTTTAGTAATGTCACACCGATAAGTGGAACGTACTCCATACTGGCTGGAAAGCTGCGTAGGTATTGGGTTAGGCTCTTGTGTCTAACGAACTTGCTTCCGACCATAGTAAAATGGATAAGAAACAGACCAATATAGTATGCGTTCATTTACAGTTTGCTGTTTCTAGCATAGTATTATATCAAGTGTATAACTGAGCCTCGTTGAAGAGATGGTCGGTCTTGGTCCAGACATCAGCACGCATGTGCGGTCTTCTGGTATATTGTCCGTCAAATGACCTAGGTGTTGGTCTGCGTAATGTTTAATGTATTAGAGACTTATATTCTACCTCATAGTATGTTAGTTGGTAGCTAAGACGTCAACCTTGTCTATTTTTTCTAACCTAGAGGATGATAATAAAAGGACACTTGGACGGCAGTAGAATAAAGTAAATGTGGGTTTCAGACTGTCACGTTTACTGGAAACCACTCCAAATGTATTTAGTAATATTGGCCCCTTTCGGTGAGCGCTTACTATTGTAATTTGGATATTCGAGGGGATATGTGCAGCCATGAATAACACATGTTACCCATAACCAATTAACCTCTATCATGCAAGACAGATATATGTATACTGCATTGAATACGGTGTCAATCGGCGGTTTGATTTAAAGTGAGTCGGAACAAAAATAAGTCAGTTGTTAAATGAACAGTTGAAAGACTAGTGAGCTGCCTAGGATGCATGACTTAATGTATTATTTACACCGTAAATGTAATATACAGTCTTTTTAACATGGCTGATATATTATCAGCAGCCAATTTGTCTCGAATTTATGCATTTCTTAGTTAAAATAGGAGCAGATGGGAATGTGTTGTAATCCCACAAAACAGCAATCTTAGTCAGGGTTATAAGAAAATATCAGTGCAAATAAAGGAATGCTTATCTCGTCAGGAGGCAGTTATTCGGCACCACGGTAATCCGGAATGAAAATTTTGAGGTTTATGAGGGAATGATTGATATTAATCTTATGCTGAAACTGAAAACAGTTTTTATGGACTTAAAATTGAAAAGATTTATAGTTGGCCAATTGAGGAAATATTTACTATCCTTACAATCCTTTCTTGTAGCTCATGCTGCACCTGATCAACTTAAGATGAGTAAACTTACTCCTCCATTTTGTACTGTTTTGAATTGTAGCATGTCATATTTATGATCATTATGCAGTAATCCGACTTTCCTTGTCCAGTAGACAAAATAAAATTATGTGAAGGCAATACAATTGTATTGTAATGTAGTTACTTTACTTAAGTAATGCAACCAATTCGTACAAGCTTTAAAACTTGTGGAGTGCTATAAAACGTAAGAAAAACCCTAATAAGGAGTAAAAGTAATATAATAAAGATAAAGATAATGGGTAAATGCATCTGCATTATTGTTCTCAGCCTTAAACTCTAGAGTCTGTCAGCATAGATTCTGCTGATTACTTAGAATTGTGTTTCACATGGTTTAGATCATATCGGTTCGGTCTTGTTTAGGTTTCGTGACCGCTTTTCTCTTATTGAACACTGCTTTGAATAAAACAAAGTACTTAGGTGATGGGTGGTCACGAGTAGTGTTTGTGTGACTTAATAACCTTATTAGCTTAATCATTCAGCTTTCAGCTAGTAGGTCCCTTAATTCTGATCCTACCATACCTTCAGTCAGGGCAAATGGATAGCGTCTCCAGTCCTCACACAACAATTTTGTGCCTCATAGCCTAAAACTTAAAGTACCTGATCCTCATAAGTAAGTTCTATCATGACTCTAAGCCTAACACCCACGTCTTTCAGGTTTCTTCAGCAAATGTGAAGAAGACTTTGGAGGCAGCGTGAGCAAGATTCTTTAAGTTTCCTTGGGTTTATCACCCTATACACTTCGTAGAGCTTACTGCCGTGTAGTACACTTGACATCTAATGGAAATTAAAATATTCCGCTAACTCGGGGACGGCTTATTTTTAATAAACATGAATAAGACTTCTGTATTCATTTCGAGGCTCATTTAGCCACTAACTGATTTGACTTCTGCGCCTTCAATCATTTCATTTCCTGCACTCGAATAGTGAGTCAATGCGGATCACTCCTGAGGCAGTGATTTATACTAGGAAGGTGAAAAACCCATGTCGGAAATTGCCACTTGGCGAACAGGAAGCTCTCCATATTTCCGGAATTTTAACGCATTAGGATTGTGTATGTTTGCCTACTTAACTGTATTTTCTCTACTAAAGTAAATATATAATATCTTAGAATAGTGATTTTCCATCTTTAACGAATACCACTCCTAGTGGAAACCCTACAAGTTTGACCATGGTAGGTTTCGACACAATTAAAACTGTTCAAACATAAAGCATTTGGCAAGCATCTCTTTCACTGGAAAATGGTGTCATGAATTTTATATCAACTAAGTAGAATACCATACTCAGGGACAAAAATAAGCCTGTAGGTGCGACTATTTTCTTTAGGCAAGCCTAAAGTCAAACTGGTTTTCTCAGGTTTGTCATTCCTTAGTTGTGATTGGGCTTTGCCTATTTTATTGTTATTTTTCTTTCGTTCATGCCAAATTTTCACACTGATGCGAAGGTCGACAGTTGAGCTGATATGACTTCATTAGAGTTCCCAAGGTTATTATGGAACAAACGGCCAAAATTCTCTTTGGTCGCTACTTATTGAAATTTCTAATCCAGTAACATACAGGATGGCATTAATAAGGATGTCGTTTTGCTTTGTTTCTAATAGTTATCGATAAAACTGGATCTGTCTGAGTATTCTTGAATACATAAAATGTAATTTTAGGGGAAAGTTTTCTATGAATTAGCTATGTTATGGATGAAGTTATCATAAAATCGAAGTATTTGTTAATTTCCATAAAACCACAGATTTTCTGCTTGGTGTGCTGTTTTTGGTCTGTAGTCACACTCTTCTGTTTTTTGATCTATAACCCTCCATATCAGTTAAAGACTTCCGTACCAGATATTTTAGTAAGGTTTTGAACACCTTGAGCAGCAATCTACGAATGTTTGGCATGCGATTCGCTCCTGCCAAGTGTAAGATGATGTTACAGGGTTGGACTACACCAACTCCTAGATTAGAAATAGGAAGTGAAGTGGTAGAGGACGTTAACCGCTTCACTTACTTGGGAAGTACTATCAGCCCCAACGGGTTGATCTCAGCACGAATACAGAGGGCTAGTTTCTCATATGCCAGTTTACACCGTCTTTGGCGTAGACGTGATATCCGACTATCGACCAAAGGGCGGGTCTACTGCTCATTAGTCCGCTCCGTCCTCCTTTATGGCTGTGAGACCTGGCCATTGAGAGTGGAAGACATGAAAAGCCCAGTTAACTGTCTTTGATCATAGGTGTCTGCGTTCTATCTCCCGTGTGAAGTGGTATAATCAGGTGAGCAATATTGAGGTAAGGCATCGGTCGAGTGCTAGATAAGGAGGAGAAATCAATCGACGAGGCGGTCGGTTGGTCGGTTTCCGACATAGAACTTTGCACATATGTGCGGCAGTTCAAGTCGCCACACTTCATGTGCTGCATAGCTGGATTCAACATAGAACTTGGCACCGAAGTGCAGCAGTTCGAGTTGCCACGTTCCAAAGAGCACACAAAGGTAGACAAGAAAATGAGTGAAGAGAATCAATAGAGTTTTGACAAGTATAAGAGTGAAACAGAATGAGTAATGGTAGAAAGGAATATGAAAGATTACAGAGACTGAATACATCTGCGCCATTGACAACGATTTTGAGCCATGTCACCTACTGTCTCCAGCCATTGATTCTTAGAGTCCCGAGGGCCCCAACCCGGAAGTCTGCATCTCCCTACCTGACTCAGTTTAACTGTCAGGGATTTCATGGATTGATGAGGCCATGTTTTTGTTTGGCCACCACTTACTCTTTTCCAACCTGCACCTATATCAGCTAGTAATGCCCGTCGAGAAGGGGAGGCGATGGTTAGGCATGCGCAGCACGTGACCTAGCCATCTCAATCTATGTAACTTTATAGCCTCTTCGATTGATTTTCCCTCTTTGCCCAGCACTCTACGCCTAACGTCAACATTACTTACCTTATTATACCACTTAACGCGAGAAAGAGATCGTAAACATCTGTGGTCAAAAACAGACAATCTTTTCATGTCTTCCGCTCTCAATGGCCACGTCTCACCGCCATAGAGAAGGACGGAGCGAACTGCTGAGCAGTACACACGTCCCTTGGTTGATAGCCGGATGTCACGCCTACGCCAGAGATGGTGTAAGTTAGCGAAAGCAGCCCGAGCTTTTTGGATCCGTGCTGAGATTTCGTCACCAATCAATCCGTTGGTGCTGATACAACTTCCCAAATAGGTGAAGTGGTCAACATGTTCTATTACTTCACTCCCTATCACTAAGCTAGGAGTTGACGTAGTCCAGTCCTGTAGCAGCATCTTACATTTTACAGGGGCGAATCGCATGCCAAACATACGAAGATTGCTGCTCAAGGTGTTCAGAAGACTCTGCATTTTGTCAGCATCCTCCCCTAACAGGACTATGTCGTCTGCATATTCTAAGTCCATAAGACTATTCCCTGGTAACAAGTCGATTCCTAAGTCGTTAAGTTCAGTTAAGGATACTTCCATTAGCATATCTATGATGAAGTTAAACAGAAAAGGGGAAAGTGGACATCCTTGACGGACACCACTGGTTGTTATCAATTCAGATGACAATTCCCCATAAGCCCTTACATGGCTACGTGAGTTTGAGTAGAGTGCCTTGATTAGTGCAATGTACTTTCTTGGCACTCCCTTCACAGTCAAACATTGCCATAGTACCTCTCGATCCACGGAGTCGAAGGCCGCCTTCAAGTCAAGAAATATGGCAATTGTTGGACGCCTAAAAGTGTGTCTACGTTCTAGGGTCTGTCGGAGAGTGAAGATATGATCTATACACCCTCTACCTGGCCTAAAGCCCGCTTGATTTTCCCTCGTTTGTTCCTCCAGAGTTCGGCTTAGTCTGTTTATGATTACTGAGCCTAGGATTTTAGAGACTATGTTCGTCAGGCTGATTCCTCTATGATTATCACATGAGGACTTGTCTCCCTTCTTGAATATTGGTATAATAAGTGACTTACCCCAGTCTCATGGAACCGTCTCTGATTCCCAGACGTTACCTAGTACCTTAGTTAAACTATATACTAGTATGTCACCCCCATATTTAAACAAATCCGCAATAATTCCGTCGGGTCCTGCCGCTTTGCCTCGTTTCAAATTACAGATAGCTTTGGTGACCTCACTTACAGACGGCGGGCCAGTGTCTATATCCCATTCTGGTGTGTTGGATGGTGGGGAGGCTCAGTGTGGCTGTAGGCAAGTTAAATTATTCCTCAAAGTGTTCTTTCCAGCCTTCAAGGCGTCTATCCTGAGAGCTAATTAAGGAGCCATTTTTCTCAGAAATAGTCTCACTTATGATTTGCCTTCTCCCACCCGTTTCCCTGATGAGTCTAAAGAGTTGCGCAGTGTTGCCTATCGCCGATGCTTTTTCCATCTCTTTCGCCTTTGTCAACCACCACTGTTCACGGTCCTTGCGGAGACTTTTCGTGAGTTTCCTTTTGTGCAGCTTTCGCTCCCCATTGAATTCGGAGCTCCCCGGAATAAGTCTTCTAGCATCTATCAGTTCGGATGAGGCAGTCGAAATCCAATGGTTTTTACTCACCTTTGGATTTACCTTATTCACAGCTGTATCTATGGCTGACTGAATATTCTTCCAGGCTTCTTCAGGGTGAGCACAGCTGTCGAACTCAGATATGTGTTTAGCTAGTTCTTCCTCAAATAGGGACTTAGTTTCCTGATCGAGCTGGGGACGTAGTGGGTTTACCGCTAGCTGTTTCCTACGTCCGTTCAGTCGTAAGCACACACGAGCGCGAATCAGTGCGTGATCGGTATCTACACACGTGTTCCAGAAGGAGCGACAATCTCCTACCGACCCACGCCAACGATAGCTTATTGCTATGTGGTCTATTTGTGTCCAGCGTTGGTTTGATGATGGGGGTCGCCAGGTCAAACAGTGTCTCTCCTTATGTTTGAAGTTAGTGCTTACAAGAAACAAATGATTATCTGAGCAGAACTGTAGGAGACGGTCACCGTTGTCGGTTCGCTGGCACGGAATTCCGTATGTGCCACCGACATTCTTCTCAGATTGACACAATTTCCCTACTTGAGCATTAAAGTCACCAGCTAAAATGACTATATCTAAGCGTTTAGCCTTTCGCAGCAAACTAGACAGCTTTTGGTAGAACTCATCCTTCGTTTCATCCGAACTGCAGTCAGTGGGGGCGTAGGCGGAGATTACGAAAAGGTATCGGCGAGTAGTGCAGTCCTTTCTCCTTTTCACTGATCCGTTCAGACGGACAGCACACATTCGGCTATCTACCGGGATCCAGTCAAGTAATGTCTTTTCTGCCCCAGTACTCAAAGCTATCCCAACACCAGCTAATCCTCGTGAGCTAGCTGTGGCATCTCCTGACACCCTCAAGGTGAATTTTGCAAATTCATCCTGTTGGCCAGGTGGGGTTAGGTGAATAACCACACTTGGGTCTTGTATGCGTGTTTCTGAAACACAACATACATCAATGGCTCGGGATGCCAGAGTCTTGGCTAGTGATGCTTGTTGTCCTATTTGGCAAAGTGTCCTAACATTAAATGTTCCTATGTGAAATTGGTGGCGTGGCTTTAGGAGACTATCGGTGGTGGTTTTTTGGCTTCCGTCGTTTTCAGTGCACACAGAGTGAAGAGGAAGTGGAGTTATTAAGTAGATGAGTTGCATTAGTAGGAGGAAGGCAAGATAATAGAGATGAAGATGAAGACAAAGATGAGTGAGGGTTAGAGAGGTTTCGCGTGCACTTCGGATTGTGAGGGCGATTGTTACTTCCCGGCTACCCACACCGTGGAAGTTGGTTGCGTGACCGCAGAGCCCAGGGGACAACTGCTTGAGGCCGGTCACACACGGCCTGTTTTTGTTTGTTGTTTTTCATTTGGTGTGTCTCAGTAGCGTATTTATCACTTCTGCCCTGTGACACTGCAGCAGAAAGCGCGGTCGTTGTTAATCTGGGCCCCGACCGATCCGGCATGATATTTTGTGATTTATTTGGAGTCATAGGATTGGATTGGGTAACTGCTTTTAGTCTAACCGCTATCCAAACAACCTTTCTGGCATGGTAGGACCTACAGGAACATAAGTTCCAGCCAGTATAGCTTGTTGGGTCATTGCGGTGTTCAAGCCCGACCACCACGTCAAGGTAGCAGCTTTCGGTCCATGTAGCACACAAAGGAAGAGAAGAAAGTAGAAATGCATAATATAGACAGTAAACAGAGGTGTGAGACAAATGAATAGTAATAACGAAGAACAAAACAGTTTCATTGGAAATCATAAGTCACAAGGAGTGGATGCATCTGCGCCACTGAGAACGATCGATGAGGCTGTGAAATTACATCGACTGAGATGGTTAGGACATGTGTTACGTATGCCTAGTCATCGCCTTCCTCGACGGGCAATGTTAGCTGACAAGGGTCAGGCTGGAAAAGAGCTAGCGGCGGCCAAACGAAAACATGGCACCAGTCAATGAAATCTACAACAGTTAGTCTATGTCACGTAGGAAGGTGTAGACTTCCTGGTTGGCGTCCTCGGGATGGTAAAAACCAATGTCTGGAAACAATTGGTGACATGGTTCAAAATCGTTCTCAATGCGCAGATGCATTTACTCCTTGTGACTTATGATTTCCAACTAAACTGTTTTGTTCTTCGATATTACTATTGTTTTTGCCGCATATCTCTGTTTACTGTCTCTATTTTGCGTTTCTTTTTATTTTCTCTTGCTTTGTATGCTGAGTGGTGTGGCGACTCGAACTGCTGCGCATCGGTGCAAAGTTCTATGTTGAAACCAGTCAGTCAATCAGTCACTGAAGAAAAACTTTTTTTGTTTCCAAGAAATTCAACCTGACAATAAGATGGAGGCTGATAGGTTGATATACCCATGTAATTTGCTTCATTGTTTTTCAGGTAGTTAGTGTATTTAGCAAAGACATAATAGAAGTTAGAATTCATGGGCCATTGAATCGAGTCCCAGTGGCTGAATGGTATACGAGCTTGCCTTGTAACCAGAAGGTCCTAGGTCCGAATCCCATTGGGTGTATACTGCTGATGAAACAGCTGTCCAGTACTCCCTGCTGGTTTTCAATGGTTGTCTCACTGATACCAATCCGTGGTAAAACTCAAAAAGCAAATGAAGTCCTTACAAATCAACTCTTGAAAATGTATAATACTTAGAAGTGAGGTGGTCTGTTTGGTATCGCGAATGGCTACAGTCAAGTGAATTTATCTGTCAATGGTCAATAGCAGTTTTCAGTGTCTAGGTATGTAGTACATAGTTGTATACCATTATAAGAAATGGATTTTAACTGATACTTAAAGTTGTCTTACAGTATCCAATCCATCAGTCCAGTACACTGTCATGTTGTTTACGAGAAATATTTAAGTGGAGGTGATTTTGCGAAGAATTTGTGCGATTTGTTTCATAACAAACGGTTGTTTCGTTGATCGTGAGTTTATTTTCCAAAGTTGTTTCGTTGATTTCATATGAATGATCTGTCTATACGTATTTTGGTAGGTACAATTAAATTTAGCTAAGTTTATCATCAGTGTATTGGGTCTACTTAGCTTCGCTATTCCAGTCACTGAGTATTAGAGTTGGTTGATAGCATTTTATTGTACTTATGTTAAATATTGACCTTATGACCACCATTTACTGTTCACAGATGTATTCGTTTCACCTGTCATTCTTCTAAATAAGTAAATAAAAGATTTCAACATATTGCAACATTGTATCACTAACAAAGATTTACTTCTTTCCAGAAACATGGCTGGAAGTAGATGGCCAGCAGCAATGGCTCCTGCTGGCAGAGTGGGAAACTCCTCTCGAGCAAAACAAGTTATTTTTGAACCAACATTCTCCAAAGTACGTAATATGTTATGCTGTATTTACAGTCCATTAAGATGGAAAAAGAAAACTATGCACTAACTCAGCGATTAAAGGAAGCATTTTATAAGGTGAGCTTAAACTTGTAAAATCATTCTGTTTTTTGCCCTTATTAGGTTGAAAAAAGATATCCTGGCTTTAGTAAAGACTTTATGATTGGCTTACTGCAACGGTTAGGAGTTGACAATGAAATGGATGTGACTGAAACCTGCCTACGAATTGCAGCTCTACAAGAATGTGGTAGTCGTTTTGATATTGCCTTAATTGTGAATTACTTTAGATAATTCAAAAACCTCCAGAAATCCTCGTGTCTCGGAGCTGGAACTTACAGCCAAAACACTGAAAACAATTCTTAGCAGTATACCAGATGAAATTACCGATCGAAGAGCATTTATTGAAGTTATCAAGTAAACAGAGTACTTAATAACATTTATTGATTCAGGGGCATAGCAGATGCTATAAAGATGTTACTAGCTGCTGTCGGCGCGTTTTATGATACTCTACCACCGGGAACACAAAAGAAGTGTCTTGAAGATCAGAAAAGAAAATTCATTACCTACTGTCGTAAATTTAGTGATACGCTCAAGCAATATTTCAGGAACAACGAGTTAGTGGGCGATTTTTTTTGGTCCAAAGTGTTATATACTCTTTTGACTAATATTTTGTTTTAGTAAATGGGATTTTTAGATTACCCCTTTCCCCCCTCCCCTAGTAGAGTTTAGCAATAAGGTATGCAAGTTCTAGGTGATTTTTGGATGTTGTTTTTGATCATATCTGCAAAAATAAATCTCGACTCTGTCAACTGTGTTCGGTTTTACAGAACAAGGAAATTAGTCAGTCACTCATAAAAGTACTTCGTGTTATTCAAAAAGCTTTTCTGTATGAGCCACCCTCGGAACTAAAATGTGAATTCAACTAATGCTTAAAATCGAGTTTTATATTGGTTAAGCGAGGGTCGAACTAAGTCCATTCATGGCTCTGTTTTATCTCATCTCGTGGATATAGAACAAAAATTGATGTTAAGAAGGCTTTTAAAGTTATCTACCGTATACCAACTAATCTTAATTTTACTTCAAGAGTTTGTCTGTAAAAATACTCTTAATACTTTGGTGAAGTATAGTGAACATGGTAGCAAAACATTCGGAAAATCTTGTTCTATTTTTAACAACCTCCAGTTCACAAGACATTTTAAAAAATACTTATGATCCTGTTATTTATGCACACAAGGTCATAATTGGTCCATTCGACGTGCATAACACATAGAAGTTCAAATGAAAGTATTCGTCGTGTTCTTTTTTATGGGCAATATAATCAAGATGAAGATTTAGACTAATAAACCAAACTTTTTGTATAAAACTATATACTACTGATTTACTGGGGTGAGTAGCTGTACACCACTCATATCAACCACTAGTATTTGCTAGCTAGCCAGATCGAATTGATCTAAACACCGTTCATCAGCGGTGTATCCGATTTCTGGCTAGCTCAATGGGCAAACTGGTGATACCACAAATCAAATTCACAATTTGTAAATTTGGTTAGCAATTTGCAGTCTACGCAGTTCGAGTGATAAAATTTCAACGTAGTTTTCTTTGTAAAACAAGTTATTCCGATCACACACACACAATAAGTGATCTGTTTGATACCATCAATGGTAATCAAGAGAGCAAGCATATTTGCATAAAACAATATACCACTGACTGATTAAGGTGAGAGTGGGTGCATATCACCCGACTCATTGCAACCAGTAGTGCTTACTAATCAGCTAGCTGGACCGCCATGACCTAATCGCCGGACAGCCGTTCCACTCTTTTGGGGCCGAGTGCAAATTGTTAACCAACTTACATATTGCGAAAATATTCATTCAGACATCTATAAAACACAAAATAATTGAGCAAAGAATATCCTTTTTGATAATTTCCTCTTCTGGTTCTACAATTATATATATATATATATATATATATATGTGCGTCGGTGGCACACTGGTTAGGACTCTCGCCGACCATGCACATGGTCCAAGGTTCGATCCCTTGCCGACGCACACCCAATATCTATGGTCGGCCTGCAAAATTTGGGCTACCGATATCCATGCTGAAAATTCCATACTTGTACTGAAAATACGGTGTGGCATCAAGCTGTAATCAAAATAAAAATTATATATATATATATATATATATATATATATATATAGAATATTCTAGAATAGTAGTCAATAACAATATTAGTGTTTTTTAAATAATATTGTTTTGTAAAGTAAGATCACAGTGGAATTACAGTTCGTTGATAATGCTTAAATTATAATAATAACAAAGATATAGCAGCAAATAGAATATCAGCTAAAATTAAGAAAATTTCCACAAGATAAGAAAAAGTGTCTGAACTAGCATCTTTTGAACACATAAATTAAGCTTCCTAATGTGGATCCCCACGGCCTCAGTAATATTTAGTCAACGAACTCAAGGCGAAGCTAAGATTTGTTGGTATCCAGTCAATGACTTTGAAAGCCTCGTTGACATCAATCTTGTGTTCTGTTGTATGCACAAGATGAGATAGAATAGCGCTACAAATAGATTTTGTTTGTCTTTTACTTGACCACTACGAAGATTGATGTTCGGAAATCCGACGAGCAACATGCATAATTGTACGGCCTATGTAGCTGGCTCCACAGACGCAATTAAATTGGTAGATACACATGGAAGAGGCGGAATTAGGCAGTTTGTCTTTTACTCCCGAACGCAAAATAGGGTTGGTTTTGAAGACACAGCATAATTCGACAGCAGGGAATCCTCTTCTTATCGCATTTCTAAGGCGTTGTGTTAGTATCTCGCTGATATTATCCCCGAGGAACCGAATTTGTAAAAATAAAGGCCTTTTTAGGAACTCTTGGTACCTTGGACTGCCTTGATTTCATATTCATATTTTTATCACAATAAACTTTTCTGGACAACTTTTTTCACTCAGCAACCGTTTAATACTATTGAGTTCCTCATCAAGACATTCATCCGAGCAGAATGCTCTTTGAACCAAGTACTTTATTGGATTCCGTTTGTATTTCAAAGGCACGAAGCTGATTCATATGAATAAGTTTTTTTTATCATTATCCTTTTTAATAATAATAAGGGAAATCACAGTTTCTGTTCAGTGAAGAAATATTCCTCTTCATCCGACTTCATTTTCAACCTGTATTCAGTCGCATTGATGCCACGGAAAGAGGCATTAAGTGGCACTAAAATATGCCCAGTCTATATACATAAAGACAATTAACATGATTTTTGAGGGGAAAGAATTGAAGTGGATGAATCGGTGTGAAGATTTTAAAATAGTAGGTCGTGTTTTCTAAAAAATTAAGAGTACGATGATGATAACAATAAAGACAGTGAAGGTGAAGTGAAGTGGAATGAATTCAAATGGTAAAATAGAACAAATAAAGGAACATTACTATGACCAAGGTGAAGAAAGAGGTTTGAAAAAAAAAGTTTCTGAATGCACAGTTTAGGTGTTTGTCCAGGTATAACCATAGATTCAGCTGGAAATAAGTGGAGAAAACGTAAACTTTTAGAGTGACGGGATTTAACTCTGTAGATAACTTTAAAGGACAAGTTGCGTGAGGCTAAATGACCTGACTCAGGAAGGTATTCAAAAATGGAAGACTTCGAATTATTGATATTAGACACGTTACACTAGTTACTAACTGGCATCCAATCAAAATAGGAGACTTCGCCATCCTATGCTTACCTTTCATCAACCAACCGGAGTAGTATTCATAAAACACACTAGCTTCTTATAACATCCAGTGTAATCCGCTCCGCAGCAGTACATGTGGAAGAAAAGATGTACGGAGAGGTTGTTGCTACTGACTAAGCTCACCTGCAGTGTACGTGGTTCGACTTAGCTCAGACAGCCGAATTAGTTGAGACGATCACCCGATTTCCGCCTAGATACTTGGGTGGGTGAATTGGTGTTACCCCAGGAACTGTGTACACTGCAGATTGTGATTCCAGTTGAACCAACCAAACTTTTATGTGCTTAAAATCAGTATTCAGTATATATATTTTGGTGATATTGCCATCAAAATGTTTAAATCCAAACGAATTTCTTTTTTTTTCTTTTCACATGTGAACTCTTTCGTGTTTTCTTTTTTTTAGTCAAACTGTAGTCTTCAGCAGTGCAAATCTATTGGTTAACCAAACCAACCTAATCCTATTTGTAGTTCATGATGTCGATTGAGTAAAGAGAAGAAGAGAGTCAACATCATAAATGTTTTTTTTTTATGATTTCGGATGATTTTGCCTATGGGAACACGTGTGTTTCATAGGATGTGATTGACTGTTATATGCAATATCATAATTTGTGCGCGTTTACGATATATAACCAACCACGCGTCGTACACTTCAGCTGATATTACTTCTGTTGTTTGTTTGTTGTTTTTTTATTACAGCAAATTTGAACTAATACTGGAGTGTTTTTTGTTTTGTTAGCCAACTTGTTTTTTTCTAAAATATGCAACAAATTGACCTTTTTATTTTGAATCTTTTCTTTATTATTTTTTTTCGCGTCACGTCCTCTTTGTAAATCGATAGTAGAAACTTTCTATTAAATAATAGGATGTAAACTATTCGTTCGTTGGGTTTTTTTAATGCTGCTGCTTGCTTTGTGTGCCACATGGAGTGTGGCAACTCGACTCGAACTACTGCACATCTGTGCAAAGTTCTACGTTGAAACCAGTCAGTGGAAAAAAACAACAACAACTTAAGTACTTCAGTGGATTTAATAATTTATATCGTCCAGTGTATGTTAAGTAAATAGTTCCCAGTTAGTGTCATTCAACATGCATTTAAGGTTATGTATATTTTCCTGTGAATAGCATTTGTGTAACTTTTTCTTGGAAAGATGAGAAAAGACACTTGTATACAACTTGCTGTATATTCTAGGCAACACTAGAATAATGCATTGATCAGAATTCAGTATTGGAGCACGTTCACCTGCTCCACATATATTCCAGTGTTATTAGTGAACACTAAATTGTATTCTGTCAAGTCGAGTAGCGAAGTTAACAATGTTTACATAATCTAGTGATTCAAGGAAACAACAGTTGCAGGAATCGAAGTCACTGGTGACTACTTATAGAGAGTTCTCACGATAAGCAACAGCAAAAACGGTAAATTCATCTGCAGAGTTAGATCCGAGAGAGAGTGGCCAGGGATAGTGTAAATGTCTTTATACTTTGATAAGTGTCTGGGCCGACATAGGACTGTAATACAATCAATAAAGGCAGTCGAGAATGTAAAACATGCGTTGTTTGAAATCAACCGCTGGGAATGAATAGAATTTGCAACTCCACCTCTACTTTTCTTTCTGGAACAATGCTGATCTTGTCTGAATAATGTAAAACTATTTAGTGAGACAAGATTGTCATCATAAAGTTCATGATTATAGCCGTATTGGGATAAGTATCAGAGGATAAAAGAGATTGTAGTACATAATGTTGTTTGGAAGTGGACGGCAGTTGATACTAGTGATAACATAAGCAGTAGTACGATGTATAGGTGTGCGTTTTAGTGCTCATTGCCAACCACTGTGATACTTTTTCTTAGCTTTGTTAGAAACTTCGAAGTCACTTGGTCTTGAACGCTTTAAAAATTCACGAGAGTGAATAACACGATTTAACGCCATACAGAAATATAAATAAAACACGATAATTGGATACATTATGTAGGTGGCAGTTAAGGCAGCCCATTGTTCAGATAGGGCGCCGTAATGTTCAACAGCCAATAACTTAGACTAGTTAAAGTAGATGTGCGTTGATGATTCAGTGATAGGACATTGGCCAACCACGTCTCTCACTCTTAAACCTCTCTTGGTGATTGGTAGTAAACCCGGTAAAGAGAGAAGGCTGGGCTTGAGGCTAGAAACCTCATCCCGTAAATAAAATACCAGTGCTACTGGAAATTTAAACCTCAAGCTTGGAGCCCCCTTTGTTTCACTAGGAACGCAAAGAAAGAGACGAGACCTACACTGTAATTGTTTGTTAAGATGTTAGAGACTAATTCAATGAAATACGGTATGCATGTAGCCTAATGTAAAGAAGTACCACTTACACACAAAGAATTCAGGATATCTGGTTTAACAACATCACTGAGATGTAAGAAAACACTTTACTCTGGAAATTACTGCGTATTCTTCATTTTAGATGTTTCATTTCTAGGATCGTTTCAGCTACAGGTGACTGCATAGATTGGGAATGTCTAAATCAGAATCGGAAAGACCAGACAGACCTTCATCACTCTCAAATCAGTTTGAAAATCTTTGGTACTCAGCATAAGGAACAATATTCAGATTTCCAACACCTATGTTAAGTCAGTCACTTCTTCTATATCGGTCAGAAACTTGGCTAAAGCGTCACGAGAGGCATTTTTTTAACTAAGGACTTTTATCAACAGCTGCCTTCACTCCAAATATGAGACCCGATGGTTGGAGAGATAGGATTAACAACAAGGAACTCTCGGGCCGAACCAATCAAGAACCTATCGCTTAACAAATATTCCGAAGAAAATGGAGATGCATCGGGCATATGCTGAGGATGTCGTTGGGTGAAATCGTGCTCCAGCCCATCGCTCGAGTGGAAATCAAGTAGGAAACGACAAGTTGGACATCTGAGGAGGAGATAAAAGCTTATTGGCAATCGTAGATGCGCTGTTGAAGTTGTAGGTTCCACTCGGAACCTAAGAGGACCATAATAATAATCACCTCTCGACCTACATTCCTTTCAGTTTGTTTAATTGATAAACAGGTGGATGGTATGAATATTAGCTAGCTAGCTAGACCTTCCTTCCATACTTCATTCTAAACATGGTTCCTTCATTACAGACCCGTTAATATTGTTGACACTTGAAGTAAAACTAATTTATCAAGTATAACTCTAAAGCATGATATTAACAAAGGTCTATATCCAGTGTTCAACAAGACTAGCCCATAGACCATTCAACCACTGAGACCCAACCCGACTGTCCACAAATTCCAACTTTTGTCAATTTATGAAATATTTAGTGTAACCGCCAGCCAGCGTCACAGGCGAGTGACTATCCTCTCAATACAGTAAAATACCTGGAGTTCTAGAGGGAATTCGTAACCAGCCTGGTCTACCCAGTCAGACAAGAGGATATTTACTCGCCTATGGTATTGGCTGGCAGTTGCGCCATATATGTCACGAATTGGCAGAAGTTGGAATTCATGAACTGTTGGAGCGGGTCCCTGCAAGCTCGCTTTGTAACTGGAAAGTCCTGGGTTCGGAGCTCGATTGGAAGATGCTGATAAAGAGCCTCAACCAGGACGGAACAGCTGTCCAGCACCCTCACCTGGTTCTCCGGTGGTTCTCTAACTAATGTCAGCTCATAATCAATGCTGTAACTGATTTTGAGAAATTTATGAGTGTACATTTATTTGCATTGCATTTGTTTCCTTTCTATTTCATTTAATGTTTATATGAATTGCTAAGTGTTTACAGTATAGAAAAAACAAAAGTTATTTCTACTTCTTCTTAGGAAACAGTTTCTTTCTATGAAGTGTGGAATTCTTAGTTGGTAAACAAATCTGTCAATGAATAGAACAACAAAAATCAACTATACGATTTATTTATTCATAAAATAGTGAAATTGGAAAAATGAGCGTTTTTGTGTAGTATAAATCATGATTGAATAGTTTTTGCTTAATTTTTTAACTTCTACCCAATGAAACAATTTTGAACTTCGTGGCATTGCGCTTGTTGTGTGTCACACTGATTATGATCAGCTTAGTGTAGACGATCTCGGGCATAATGACTGAAATCTGTAAACTTTTCTCTACCACTTACTTCTCAGTGGTAATCGTAGTTTAAAAGTTTACCAGAGATCCTGAATGTATTGTTCCGAAAATTAATTCTAGCTGTTTTTCATTGGTTTACTATAAACTTTTGATAATAATGATGCTGATGTGACTTGTGCTACTGACAAGACGTATAAGTAGTATATAGATACAGACATAAATGTGTAAACTATCTGCAAGTATATTGAGTAGCGGAGAGATGGATTTACTGAACAATGTTTGTGAAACAAGATGGAAAACATGAAAGGAGGACAAAAGTAGCACAGTACCGAAGATATCTTCAAATTGCTATTCTGATATTTAGTAGACGTGTTTTGGTCATATCTGTGTAGCGAGGTTCCAATAAGTAATTCCGTTAACAAATACGCTAGTCTTCCGACGTTATACTAGCTGTAGTTATTATTATTATTGTTTCCTTTAATTCCTACAGGAACATAGGGCTTCAGCTGTGCGTCTCCACTGCGTTCGGTTCTCTGCTAGAGTCTTTACCTGGCTCCAAGTCTGCCCACACGTTTTCACATCCTCTTCACATGACCTCCTCCAAGTCACCCTCGCACTGACGACCAACTCGCCGCTTCCCATTCTGTCGGGTTCCACTCGAGCAATGGATTGTCTAGTGATGTCACTTGATGGTTTCCTCAGAGTATGCTAATCTGTCTCCATTTCTTCCTGCCTATTTGTTTCGCAACCTGTTCCTGGTTGGTCCGCTCCTAGAGATTCCTCTCTGTTGCTGATCTTTTCTGGCCGGCCATCTGATTTTGAGTATTGAGCGAAGACAACTGTTAATGAAGGTCTGTAGTTGTAGTTAGAGGAGTACAATCTTAGTCACTATAGCCAGTAGTGAGTTGTATGCTACCCTGTGTTCACAATCTGAAGAAACCACTGATGTCCTAGCTAAAACCGTATGTGTGTGAGCAATGTAGTTGGACATTTTCGAACATTTGCAATTAAAATTGTTCTCTGAGCTGGTTGGTTTAGTTGCGAAGCTTTCGTCGTCCTTCTGGGCAACATCTTCAGCGCCATATTTAGCACAAAGTGAAATGATTTAAATTTCTTCATGCGTGATGTAATTGCGTCTCCTGGTTACTATCTTTACATGTGTATTGACCACTTTCTATTGACTTGGATTTTAAACTTTCTGGTCACCTGATTTAATTTTTATTAATTGGTATATTTCATCTATATTAACGTGTTTGTTAATCGCATTTTCGCTTGAGTACCAGGCTTCTAGGAATTCTCTGGCACTTTTCGTGTTTCCTCTGTTTAAGATTTTGACATGATCCCAATCAAATTGATGACCATAATTATCTGTATGCATTGATACTAAAGAATTTATATCATGTCTTTTCACGGCTGATTTGTGTTCTTGGATTCTGATTCGAAGGGGACGCCCACTTTGGCCGATGTAATGCTTGTTGCAGTTCATACAACTTATTTTGTAGATGGTATTCATTTTATCCCCTTTTTCTGTTGGATCTTTTGGTTTGCATAATATCGAATTAAGCGATTTTACTGGTTTGTGTGCTATATCTATATCTAACGGTTTCAGTATTCTGGCTGTTATTTCAGAGATATTCCTCACGTATGGTAGAATGAATTTTCTTGTGGTCTTTGATGATGGTTTCTTGTCGATGTTTTGATTCGACTTTAAACACTTTTTGATGAAATTTTGTGGATAACCATTCTTTTTGAAGACCGTTTGTAGGTACTTTTCTTCCATTCTTTTCAGCTCTGGAGTGCTACAATGTGTCTGAACTCTTT